ACCATTTGGAGTCTATTTTTGTGTGTGGTGTAAGGAAATGGTCCAGTTTCATTCTTCTGCATGTGGCTGTCCAATTTTCCTAACACCATTTGTTGAATAGACTGAATGACATACCTTTCTTTATTTTTTTTATTATGTTATGTTAATCGCCATACATTACATCATTAGTTTTTGATGTAGTGTTTCATGATTCATTGTTTGTGTATAACACCCAGTGCTCCATTCCGTACGTGCCCTCTTTAATACCCATCACCAGGCTAACCAATCCCCCCACGACATACCTTTCTTAAAGAATTCTCATCCTTCTAGCTAAAGATGTTCTATTAAAGTCATGTATCTAATTTCACTCTCTCCTAAAACCCTACTAAAAGTAAAGTGATTTTTTAAAAAGTCATAAACCCCACAAGGACAGAGAAGAGTAGAAAGCACAAAATAGTAACACAATTTAGAAAGCTGGAAACCATATGGATGAGGAAGTGGTGATCAAGATGATATTAACACTGCCCTCAACTTGACTAAGCTGCAGACAGTTTCTCCTGGCTATGTGCTAGTATAATTTTTTTTTGACAGTGGGACTGAGTTAACAGACATGGAAAAGTGGAATCCTAAACTGGCAGTAGATAAAATAAAAGAGTCAATCTTGTCAGCACCAAAGAATACTCAAAAAAGGCCCAGAAACTGGAATCCCTTGGTACCTTGGGACCCAGGAGTAAAAGGGAAGTCTAAGAGGTGACAGTTATTTCAGAAGAAGCTAGGTCCCTAGATTACCCTTCACATCCCACACTATGGGAATGCTGTCCCTCTCCTATCCCAGCAGAAACTGGGAGATTTACTTCTGGATAAGCTTGGGACTGGGGGTTGCCACATACAGCTCAAAATCTTATTATTAGTGAAGCATGTGAAAAACAAGGAAATTACATGATTATGCATGCACACCAGATGTGGAATGCAGAGACCCACAGCCCTTTATCCAGATGTTGCTGCCAGACCTCTATCGTGGATGTAGAATATTAGAAGAATCTTCTTTGGAGGCTGAACAGGAAAAAACTAAAGATACTGGCATTGGAGTTTCCCTCCTCAAAATAGGTTTCCCAGCCAGATCACACTTCAGTGAAACTCAGTCAACAGCTCTGTCTATGAGCACCAAGCTGCCAGCCAGTTTCCCAAAAATGTACTGGATTATGGCATAAGTCAGCACAGGACACAAATTTGAATCGCACAGCCCAGTGAAGTTTCCATATGTACATGCCAGTGTAACCACCCCACAAATCAAGATATATAACATTTCCTTCCGGTTAGAAGGCTCCCTCTTTTCCCTTCTGAGGCACTATCCTCTCAGAGGTGACTACTCTCATGATACATATTACCAGAAGGTTAGAGTTTTGTCACTTCTTAAAGTTCATGTAGAAAGAATCATATGGTAGAATGCCTACACCTGGCTTCTTTAGTTCAACATGACATCTGTCAGATTCAATCATGTATGACCTATAACAGGAGTTTGTTCTCTGTATTGCTGTAACATTTCATTATACAAATATTAGTTGATTCATTTTTCTGCTGATGAATATTCCAATTTTTGGCTATTATGAGTAAAGGTGATAGGAAGCATGCCTTTTGTGGGCCATATGTATATATTTCTCTCAGGCATACACCCAGAAGTGATATGTCTGGGCATTAGAGTAAGCAATATTTAGCTTTAGTATATGTAGGCAAACTATTTTCCAAAATGCTTCTACAAATTTATGCTCTCACCCAAAATAATTGAGAGTTCTAGTTGCTAAATATTCCCAATAAATGTAGTAGTGTTCATCTTTTTATCTCTGGGGTATTGTTGAGGAACACTAGGGTGATGGAAATGTCCTATATTTTTGTCTGCATAACAGCTACATGGATATATACATATGTAAACATTCATTAATTTTTACAGGTATTATTTGTGTTTTTTGCTCCCTGCATTTTTCTTTTAATGTAAGGACAACACAAGGCTAATATGAGCAACTTTAAGCTAAGGAATGTTAATTTGAGTAAAATGGAGAGATACTTCAGAGATTAAAAATACATTAAAGCTGACAAAAGAAAAGAAAATCTGTCTTTTTCTGCTTGACTTATTTCACTTAGCATAATCCCCTCCAGTTCCATCCATGTCAATGCAAATGGTGGGTATTCATCTTTTCTGATGGCTGAGTAATATTCCATTGTATATATGTACCACATCTTCTTTGTCCATTCATCTGTTGAAGGGCATCTCAGCTCCTTCCACAGTTTGGCTATTGTGGACATTGCTGCTTA